TTTTAGAATGGATTGTGCAGATCCCTGCATTTTGTGGCCTGCTTTCCGGGTCTACTGGTGGAACCTCTTCTAACCGGTTCGGTAGATTTGACGAACCGGTTCTACCGAATAGGTGCGAACTGGTAGGAACCCACCTCTGCTCCTGTCCCTTAAGCTCATAGATCATGGGAGAGAATCAGAAAACGCAAGATGTCAGTTGTGTCTTGGCAATCAAAGTTCTACTCCCTATGAGAACAATGGAGGCCCATCTTATACTGGATGGGATTAATTGTCGAGTCTGAATTTTCCCAGTTTAATGTGTCGTTGAACTTTTCAGTCATGGAGCCAAACAAATTACCAATATTTCTGCCCTGAGAAACTCTGACTGTAAATATAAGCCTTATACTTTGATCACAAATATTACATCTTGATTATTTTGGACTTTCCGGGTCCATTTTTCTACTAGCACTTAAAGCAGTATACAAACATGGGTTGCTGTGGATAATTTTGCTTCCGTGTTATTTTTCTGTTCTCTGTGCAAGGCTGGTGCAGCTTTTCACCACTGTGCAAAGCAGACTGGCACAGTTCCTTAAAAGGGCTACAGCCGAACTCTCTTGCTTAACTGTATTTCCAGGTGCGGTTTCAGAGAAAGATTTTGCAGAAAGCTAAAATGACAAAACAATGAAATGACTAATGGTGGCCTTTCTGACCTTGTAACTAGGGGAAGTTGATGCTTATGTTTTTCACATACGTAGACCTGCATATAAACTTCAGCAACTCAGCTCCTATGTAATAATGGCCACTGCCTAGTGCCTCTAACAGTCAAGAGATAGGGAATACATTTTCAAAGATGTTAAGCTTCAGAAGACAGATTTGCCCCATTCCATATTACTGTCATCACAGATTGATGTTTTTCCACTCACTGGTGATGTTTGAAAGAGACACAGGCAGTGGCATCACCAGGTTAAACCAATCTTTTTTGCTTAACACATCATACAGATGCATAATCAGGCCAACACCATTTGACAACAAGGTAGAAGAGAGGCAAAAGGGAAAGGCAAAACATGTGCATATGTTTATTCCACATAAGTGTGTCACGTGAGGTCT